TCCGGGAGGGAGAGAGAGAGAGCCACGCCAGGTGGCACGTGCGGTGGCAGTGGCACTGGCAGTGGCAGTGGCAGTGGCAGTGGCAGTGGCAGTGTCACCAATTGCCATTGGTGGTGTCATGGACCTGGTGTGGCCCATGTGTGGTGTGGCCCATGTGTGGGGTGGCCCATGTGCGGGGTGGCCCATGTGTGGGGTGGGGTGCGAGAGGGGGGGACGGGGGGCACCCTACCTGGATGGTGGGCGGGTACTTGTCGCAACTGCATGTTACGGACTCTCTCATCCCTCCCCTACCTCCGTTTAGCCCTTCCCTTCCCTGCTCCTCTCTCTGTCGCCATGTCCACCGCCACGTCGACGACGACCACCCCCGCCTCCACCGCCTCCACCGCCTCCGCCGCCTCCACCGCCACTACCTCCCCGCCACCCTCCAGGTCATTCCGCATCGGCCTGTGCCAGATGGCGGTGGGTGCTGACAAGACCGAGAACCTGGCCACGGCGGCAGAGGCTGTCCGCAGTGCTGCTGCTGCGGGCGCAGACATGGTTGTCCTCCCCGAGTGCTTCAACTCGCCCTACGGCACAGGCTTCTTTCCTGACTACGCCGAGATCCTTGCCCCAGGCGCCCCTGGAGGCACGTACGACGCCCTCGCCGCCATGGCCGCAGATTCAAGGGTCACTCTCTTTGCCGGATCGGTGCCCGAGTCCGCGGCTGTGCATCCCGATGCCGATGACGATGCCGTCGCCGGCACCGATGCTGGCGACGCGCGCTTGCTCTACAACACCGCGCTGGTGTTTGGTGCCGATGGCAGTGAGCTTGCCCGCCATCGCAAGGTTCATCTCTTTGACATCGATGTGCCTGGGAAGATCCGTTTCATTGAGTCGGAGACGCTCTCGCCGGGTGATACCGTGACGGTCGTGGAGACGCCGCAGTGCAAGGTCGGCCTTGCCATCTGCTACGATGTCCGCTTCCCCGAAATGGCAGCCATCGCCGCCGACGCCGGTGCAGAGCTCCTTGTCTACCCGGGTGCGTTCAACCTCGTCACTGGCCCGCTTCACTGGGAGTTGCTCCTCCGCTCGCGGGCAGTCGACAACCAGCTCTTTGTAGCAGGCGTCTCGCCGGCCCGCGATGAGTCGGCCGACTACGTGGCTTGGGGGCACTCGACGCTCGTAGACCCATGGGGCAAGGTGCTCGGTGCACTCGAGGCTGCGCCAGGGACTATCGTACTCGATATTGACCTCGCTGCCGTTGACGATGTCCGCGCTTCGATCCCTATTCGCACACAGCGCCGTCCCGAGGTGTACGCGGCCGGCCGCGCAGCTATCGCCTAGACTGGTTGGGGTGGGACTGGAAAATTAGTGGTGTTACTGCAGATGAAGTTGAGTCATGGCGCCTAGGGCATAGCCGGTCCGTCCGAAGTGAATGAGAAGCTCCCACTTTCCGAGCCGGACGCTGAGGCAGACTCAAAGTCCGACAGCGTGGCAACTGGTCGAGGTGAGTCGAGCGAGATGGCCGACGACGAGTCGGCCGCCGACGATGATGCGAGCTCTGAAGTCTCGGTGGTCGTCGCATCGACTCTGTCGCCAGTCACGGGCCGGACACGCGGACTATGCGGCGTCATGCCACGGGAAGGAGCAGAGGGCGAGTCCACGGTCCGCGAGAACGATGCACGGCGGAGCGAGAGGCTCTTACGGCGCGGGCGGCGCGACGGTGAGTCGGACGTACGCGCAGCCGCATTGCGCGCAGCAGTCTTACGAAGCGGCGACTCGATGGGGCTGATGATGAACGAGTCCTGCCCGTCAAACACCATGGGGCTTGAGTTGAACCGCTCCATTCGTGCCGAGCTCGGGGCCGGGACGCGACGCGGGTGCGGGCTGGCAATTTCGGTCACGACAAACTGCTCATCTGGCTCGACAGCAAAGTCTACCGAGCCAGCGGTATCTGGCCGCAGGATGTTGGCAAGTGAGCCGCGACGAGAGGCGAGCGAAGCCACTGATGGGCCGCCATCGAGATCGACGCCAAAGGTGGCGTTCGGAATCGAAGACGTCCTGGTCAAGCGGGGCCCTCGCGGCCGAACGTGAATGATCTCCTCGATAAACTGCTCATGGTCACCGAGCCCGTCACTTCCGTCACCCGACGAATTGAGAGACGACGACGACGACGGTGCATCAAGCAACGTTGCCTTTTGTGCGCCAGGGGGCACCATCCGCGAAACGTGCGACGCAGCTGCTCCGCCAAGCGATGCCTTGACCATGCTTGGCAACGGCGGGAGGCCGGTGACCTTGGACGGGAGCTTGGGCAGCGCCGGAATGCCTGGCAGTTGCTTCGCCACCGAGATCTCGGTAATGCGTTCCTTGCGAATGGCACGGCCGATCTTGGCGGCACGCTTCGGCTTGGGGGCGGAATGACACCGCGGCGGAAACCAGGGGCTCGCAGCGGAGCAGGCAACACAGGTACGTCACTCTCTGACGAGCGTCGCGACCGGCCACGCGGAATCGGTGGCAGGGGCGGTAGAACAGGAAGCATCACGCCCGATTCGTCAGAGGAGTCCAATGACGACGTGCCGGACGACGATGATCCCTTGAGCAGCAAGGCTTCGGCCTCGTCATCGCGGAGCCAGAAGCACATAAAGAACAAGCCACAGCAGGTCACAACCAGCAGTGTTACAGCCAAGAAAAAGATCCACCAGTAAGACCGAGTACGAACACGACCATCGACAGAGAGCAGCTGCTGATTCGGGGGGGGAGGCGGCGCCGAAACACTAATGAGCGGCGGCGGTGGAGATCCTGCACTCGGCGGCGGCGAGCCAGTGCCAGGTGGCGGCGGGGAGCCAGCGCCAGGAGGCGGCGGCGAGCCTACGCCAGGAGGCGGTGGGGAGCCAGTGCGAGGAGGCGGTGGCGATCCTGCACCAGGAGGCGGCGGCGATCCTGCGCCCGGAGGCGGCGGCGATCCTGCACCAGGAGGCGGCGGCGATCCTGCGCCCGGAGGCGGCGGCGATCCTGCACCAGGAGGCGGCGGCGATCCGGCGCCAGGAGGAGGTGGCGAGCCAGCGCCAGGTGGCGGCGGG